AGAGAGAGAGAGAGAGAGAGAGAGAGAGAGAGAGAGAGAGAGAATCATAAGCAGGCTCCATGCTCAGTGTAGAGCCCCACTGGACCCTGATTCCATGATCTTGAAATCATGACCTGAGCCGATATCAAGAGTCGGACGCTAAACCGACTGAGCCACCCACTATAGTGTTTTTTGTTTTTGTTTTTTAAATGCAGTCTTTTTGACTTGGCTGTAGGGTTTCATGCCTATAACATACATTGACTTAGGAATGTAAATCTAAGCATTTTACCCACTAAATGCCTCTTGCAACCACAAAGCACTGTATATATTGGGAAATTTTTTAGTTTCTAATCATTTTTCAAGATAGTTCCATTGCTGAAATGGGACAGTATAGTAACTACCATAATATGTGAAATAGCTACACCTGCTTTGACACAGAGGACAGAGCAAAAAGCAGACTATTTCTGAAATTTTAACTATGCTTTCACTCACAACCTAACGGTATTCTTATGAAACAAATATTAGAAATTATTACAAGTTTTTCATTGACTAAAATGGTTAATAATAAACCAAGAGGCTACTATGAAATTATAACTCACTAACTCTTAAGAAATAACCCAAACAAAACAACCCTATAATCTGTCTAACACTGCCACTGCTCAATCTTTTAACAACTAGGTTGTGAACCAAATCACCTATGAATACACACCTATTTGTACGGTGCCGAAAACGGAATCTAAGTGGGACTACATAGTCTTTGAATTGGAAACGAATTTGACAAGCCCCATTTTGAAGAACGTGCTCTATTGCTTCAGAGAGCATGGAAAAAATTCCTGTCCAAACCACCCACTAAAATATAAGAGCAGATAATGAGAATCTCTAGCTGGGCTCAAAGCTGTTTGAAGTACATGAAAGACTCACTCCTCTAGAAATTCAGTCATTCTGGAACCACTGTGAAGTTCCCTATTGAAAAAGGCTCACAGTGCACCCACTTGAGATATCCTTAGTCCTTGATGTTATATTATCAACTTGTAATTCTTCTACCTAACTGAAGAAGGCTCACTGTCATGCTTCACATAAGATAATGATGTAACATCTCTACTGTCTACTTTAAAAATATTTTATTAATTAAAGAAATGAAACAAAAGGACAAGATACTAAAAAGAAAGGCCCAATCAGCCAGAGATATAAACTTACAAGTAAAAGAGATTTAAGCTCCAGGCTATCTAAAAGAGCAAAGGATTCTATTACTTTTGGCAGAAATAACTCATATGAAACACAGAAGTTCACATAAAAAGAAAGCAGTAACCCCTAATTGTTATCCAACTTCTTAACTCAGGGTAAAATGTTATCTAGTCCTGCAAACACCAAAAGGTTCTACCTGAGCTACAACTGTCATAATTAAAATCCGTGTTAAATAACTAGCTTCCATTCATATTAGAACAGAGAACACATGTAGCCTTTCTAAATCAGTCACTAGAGAGAAGTGCTGGGTAACACTTAAAAAGCTTTGTATCAATATCTTATATAACCGGTAAGATAAAATTTAAAGTTATTTAACAGCTCAAATGAGTTCATTTCATGTAGCTAAAGAATACACGTGCACCATCTGTTTCAACAGATGTGAACCACTATAGGGAATGAATTTTAAAATTCTATCTTTGCCTACTATTGTGAGATTCATACAAGTGGGGACTGGAAACCTGAATGAAATAATAAATCTTACCTCAATTCTGTCCTTTGTCAGACAAATTATGTTCTCATCATTTTATCACCTAAGGTATGTGTTAAGGATAATCCTCTTGTAGTCAGTAAAAAGACTCACTATACCTGGATCTGTGTCACAGTTCCCTCAGTAATCTCATCATCTGCCACCTCTGCGGTTGCAGTCATGGTCACCTCAAAGCTCTGATCATTTTCTGAAACTTCAAGAAGAAAGAACAATTCAATTCCAATATAATAGCAAGTTCTAATTATTAAAAAAATAAAATCCATGGGAAAAAATACATGACCGTCTAATTTCCTAGCACATTCCTTGCCAATTAAGTCTATGTCTATAAAGATACAGATATATATATGTTTAAGAAAAAGTCATTATGCACCTAATACACACTAAGTAATGCTTTGGGTGGTGGGAAGACAGCAGAGAGCAAATAAAACAGAATTGTGCCTTCATGGTGCTTATATTCTAGTAAGGAAGACACGAAATGAACATATTATGTTGGGTGTTGATAAATGAGAAAAAAGTAAAGCAGGAAAGGGAATGTACTGGGGGGAGAAGATTGAAATTTTAGTTAACAGGAGAAGAGAAGTAACCCAGACTTGGAACAAAATGGGAACCCAGACTTGGAACAAAATGGGAAAGGGAGCTAGTCACACAGGTATCCTAAGAAAGAGCACTTCATGCAGAAGGAAAGCCATGGGCAGAGACTCTGAGATGGGGGCACATCTGGACTGTTCAAAGGGATGGCAAGTAGGATAGTGTAACCAGAGGACTGGTTCTGTGAGGACTTGTAGGCTAATGTAAAGACTTTGGCTTTAATTCTCAGATGGGAAACCACTGGAAGATACAGAGTGATATAATCTAATTTTTATTTTAACAGGATTGCTTTGGCTACTAACAAGAAAACAGCCTGAAGGGTGGCAAGGGCACTGTGAAATCAGTTAAGAAGCTAACTCAATAATCCAGGTTAGAGAAGTCAGGGACTTGGCCCAGGGCCAAAGGCAAGTGAGGATGATGAGCAGTTCAAACTGTGGATATATTTTGATATGAGAACCAACAGGATTTGTGGATAAACTAAATATGAAAGAAATTGACAACAAAAGGATGTTATTAAAGTTTTAAAAATCAGAGCTACTAGAAAAATGTACCTGCCATTAATGAAATGGGAAGATTTGTAGAAGCAGCAAATTTAATTTAAGAAGTTTCATGGGTTGGTTTTAAACACACTACTTTGAGATACCTACTAAACATCTAGAGTTAAGATTAAGGTTGGACTGGAATAAATCTGAACATGATCACAAGAGACAGGATTTAAAACCACCAATTCTAGGGAATGAGAAAACAAAACAGAAGCAGCAGCCTAAGAATGGAGTCCTGGAGCACTCCAATTAGAGACTAGGGACATGTGGACAGGTCAGCCTAAGAGACTCAGAAGGCACAGACAGAAAGGTAGAAGAAAACTAGAAGAATGGTTCCCTGAAAGCCAAAAGACATTATTTCAGAGAAGACTGATAAATATTCTCAGAGTAATAAATACTGTCAAAAACTGTGGATAGATCAAGTGAAGACAAAGACTAAAACAAAAAATTCATCACTGGACTTAGCAACAAGATAGTCTCTGGAGACCTGGGAAGAACAATTTTGGTGAAGTGACAGAGATGAAAGCCAGACTGGAGTGGGTTTAAGGAAGAATGGGAGAAGAAATGGAGGGAAGTATATGGATTCTTTCAAAGTATTCTGCTCTAAAGGAAAGAGGAGAAGCTGGAGGGGAGCCCAAAGTGGGCTAACAGGACGTCTTATTTTAAAGAAGAAATTATAGTAGGTTTCTAACACTGATGGGAACGATCCAGTAGAGAAAGAAAAGCTAATGATTCACGTGAGAAAGGAAGAAATCCTCCAACAATGTCCTTGAGTAGGTAGAAGGGATGGGATCTAGTAAAGTGAAGGGCTGGCCTTAGTGAGAAGAAAAGATAGGAACATACGGACACAGATTCATATGGACAGATTCATTTGTAGTGGTGGAAACTGGCAGAAATTATCTTCTGACTACTTCAATTTTCTCAGTAGGGTAGAAGCAAGGCTATCAGTTGAGAGTAACAAAGGTAGAGAAAATACTGGAGGTTTCAGGAATGTATGAAAGTCATCTCTGAGTGGGAGAAAAAACCATTCATTTGTTAAGTGTGGCGTGACTGGCAGGCAACATTATGAGCCCACCTCAAGTTAATGATCATGAATTTAAAATAAGATCATTCAGCTTGCTTGTGCTGTTTTTCAATTAGCTGTGCCAGTATAGACATATTTAACCAGGCATATTTAACCAGGATTGTGGTTTCACTAAAAACAATGAAGTGAGAGAAGGAAAAAAAGGATTTGAGGGTAAATTCAACAGTGATTATAATGATTAATTATGAGCCAAACCTGGTAGGGAGGAAATAAAAGATGGGAGTGGAAAAGGAACAATGAAAAAGTGGTTAAGATCAGTGGGTCCCTGAGGGGCAAAGGATTCCAAGTGTTAGAGAGGATTAAAGAAAGTAACCTGGGAAGAAAGGAAGTATTGGTACAAAAACAAAGTCTGAAGTAGATCACAAACGGACTCCACTTAACAGGTAATACCAAAGGAGGTAATGGGACTAATTAATGAGGTAGTATGGAGAACAAAAGGCAGAAGAGGATAAAGTATTGCAACAATCATCTAAATGAATAACCACCAAGAGTTGTAACTATGAGTAGGGAATGGAGAAAATGTGGTGACAGACAGTAACAATAAGAAGTTGTAAGTGATTTAGAATGATTAACATGAGAGTTAAGATTTTTTAAGGAACAAATTTTTTTTATCAGTTTTATAAAGCATGTAAAGAAAACGTGAACATTAAAATGAAATTTGAAGTTAAATCTTTAAAAACTAGTATTTACCTCCATCAAGTCCAGCAAACAACGACTTGCCCATTCAGTCAGTCCCAGATGATGGTGATGATACAGGACTTCATTTTTTTACGTGACTTTTTAATGGAGAAGTTTTCCTACGTTGATTTTATCAACATGCTTTTTACAAATCTAGGGAACAATACTTCAAGCCCACTTTTCACAAATTTAGTACTACTGTAAATATTAGGCTCTAGAACATTCTCCATATGTGATGATGCTCTGACCCCACAGCAAGTAGCTCAGGTCAGTACGTCCATATTATCATACCCAGTTAAGTGAAAGAGGGTGTGAAGGGTTCAGTGTGACACCGTACATAGAATATAATAGCAAATGGACTTTGAACCTACAGTCATGATCAAGGTACTCAACTTTACCCAAATGAATTAACCAGTCTTAATTTATGTCAAAATAATCCCTCAAAAATTCTGGCTTAATAAAATATTTTCATCTTATTTTATGTCTTGGGGACATAATGTACAGCATGGGGACTATAGTTAAGAATACTCTATGGTATTGTTGGAAAATGTTAAGAGAACTTATCTTGAAACTTTTCATCACAAGAAAAAAAGTGTTAACTATGTGTGGTGGCAGATGTTAACCAGACTTATTATGTTCATTCCACAACATATACAGATACCAAATTATCATGTTGTGCATCTGAGACTAATATGTTACATGTTAATTATATCTGAATTCAAAATATTCTAGCTTGGAAAATGTCCATATAGGATTGTATCTGTATAGACATGCCAATCATGGCTGAATCACAACCTAATGATGGTCAAATTAGAGGAGTTTTAAAAAAATCGTATGAATCATCACTAGGAGTAAAGATCATTTAATTGGAAATACATATGTCTGTCTACGTCACTGGAAGCAATATTAGCAATCTTAACATTAATACTGTCTTTCCATAAAGTCTCACAGTAAACTGAAAATGGTTTCTGTTCAATTGGATAAACAATAAACTCTAAATAAAGAGTATACATCTATGTGTGAAGACAAAGTCTGCCATGATGAAAACCTAATCTTAGTTTTTTCCAACTGGATGAAGATGTGATTGCGCTTGATGCTGAGTGCAAAATCAAAGTTCTCAAAGACCAGAATGCTTGGGTATGACTTTAGGCAAGTTATTGTATCTCTCCGTGCCTTAGTTTTCCTAAAAAATTTATGAAACAGAGATCATAATACCTACTCTACAGCATGCTTTCTCAATGAGGGCAAAATATGCTTGCATCTAGGAGGGGTGTGTGTGGAAAAAAAGTATCCTCTTTGTTATTAAAACACTACATACATACAGTACATTAAAACACACACACACACACACACCAGTGTATCTGTGGTATTACAATTTCACTGGGGAGAGCATGATCAGGAGAAAATGTCTAAAAAAGCTTGGGGTGGGGAGGGTGATAACTGTCAATGAAAAAGGCTGAAAAAATTCAAATAGGCAACATATGCAAAAGCATTTAGAGCCATGCCCGCTCATTAAGTATTAGTAAAAAGAGGTTTTTTGACTAAATGAAGAGAAAAACAATGGGTCTAAGTCTACCTTGAAATGCCAACTTGATCTCGCACAAGCTAAAATCAGATTTCAAAAGGGAACTGCGTTCTTCATACGTGGTGACTTACGTGGAAGTGCAACAACTGATATGCAAGGAGTAGAATCATCAATACTCTGATCATCCTCAGAAGACAGACAAAGCCTTTTATGTGGAGGTTCAGTACTATCTTCTGAGTCTATTTCATCAGCTTCTAATGAAACAAAATAAAACAAAAATCTCAAAAATCTTCAAACCAATGAAGAAAAACCCACATCTTCAACAAGTGTGAAACCATCTTATCTATTTGCTCAGTTAACCCAGTTGTGCAAGTAGGACCCCCAACGACACTGCCGTCTCTATCCCCAGTGCAGGGCCTCAGCTCCTATTCTTATGACAAGAACTATGAAGAGAGGTGCTACTTTTTAAACATCACACTTTTGTACTACTAACTATCTGTCTTTCCAAATATTTCACATGCAAAGACAGGGCTGGTTATTCAATTCACTCAGTTATTTACTGAATGCCTACTATGTGCTAAGTGCTGCGAACAGAACAATGACAGACACCCTTGACTGTCGAGGCACTCACAGGGTAATAGAGGAGATGACTAAACAGACAATTTCAAAATTGTGTTCTAAGAGCTATGCAAGGGGAATGAAGAAGGTTTCATGGGCAGAGGGGAGAGGCACTTAATTTAGACTACAGGTGAAGGTTTCCCAGAAGAAGTGTGTTGAACTGGAAAGAACTTGAATGAACAGAAACCAGGGGAAAATGAATATTACTGGCACTAGGAATAATTATTTGTGGTGACAGTACAGTATGAAAAGCTTAAGGTGTGTTAGGAAAATGAAGACAGCTATGAATTACTAGGACATAGGTATATGAAATGTGGCAGGAAGGGAGGCTAGCAGAAAAATTGACATGGTAGGAGGCCATCACTGTGTTCTAAAAACCATGTGAAACTTAAAAAAAAAAAAAACAACCTTCCTCCAATACTGAGCATCATGACCAAGGTCAATGGCAGTATGAAAGATGAATTAGCAGGGAGACTTGTTAAAAGGCTACTGGGGCCTCCCAGGTGAGAAATGAGACTCTAAACTAAGAAAGGGGAACTTGAGACCAAGGAAGCAATGGACTCAAGAAACAAAACACTATCAACAAGTCTTCATGATAGAATGAATGTAGGAGATGAAAGAAGGGTTTATTCCTACCACATTTATGATCTGGGATACTAAGTAATGAAATTGAGAAAGAAAGAGAGAACCAGGTCTCGGAATTTTGTGAAAGATTTCAGTTTGGAACATGTGATATTTAAGGTGTCTATGAGAAACACAAAGAATTCAGAATAAAGACAGAAATTTGAATCATTTTAATAGGTAGGTGGTACTTAAAATCACAAGTTTGAATAAATTACCAGAAATTAAGTATTGAATGAGAAGAGAAGATAAAACCTAGGTTGAACAAAGATAAACTTAAAGCAAAATGAATATAAATACGGAATAGGTAGAGAAGTGACAACAAAATCACAAGCCTCAGCCTCTTGAATCTTAACTGATTACAGATAATGATATTAAATCTTATTCAAATAGTCACGTAAAATCCTCTTCTACAGATTCTAGAAAAAATTGACAGGATTGCTTTTACATTTTTCAACGTGCTATATACATTGCCGGCACCAAATGATATCAAAGAGAAAGTGTTAATTACAGTTAATTCATCATCTTTGGAGGCCCAATGCATTCTACTTACTTATAAAGTAGCTACGAAAGTCAAAAAAGTTCAAATTTATGGCAAATTAAAAAAATATAAAGGTATATTTTAAAAACATAAAAATATAAATTAAGATTAATTCATAAGCCAAAAAGAGAACTCCCATTTCTATTATCCTAGCCCAAACTGTCAATCAGGGTAATAACCATCAAAGGGAATGTGAAATCCAGAAATCCAGAAAGATCCATAATTACATGTCAGCAAGTTTTCCTACCATTCTGAGGGCAATGAAGAATGAGGTTCCCGTCTGTGTCCTGAGTCAAAGTCACAGAGTTCACAGTTTCTACTGTTACTGTGTCAGAATCCTCTTCAACTGTGCTCATACTCAAATCTACATAATAGATTTCAGATTTAAAAAATTACTCCCAAATATGAACATAGAGTAGCCCCCAACTTCCCCCACCTCCCCATAAAAAACCCCTCACAATTCATATGTGCTATATAGTGCTCTTTATGTGAAATTCCAATGGCAGCTCAGACTTGAAATTTTTCAAAAGGTTATATCCATGATTCAGAATAAAATGTAATAATCTGCAAGAATCTGCTTCTCTAAATAAAAACCTACAGCATTTTTTTAATGTTTATTTATTTTGAGGTGGGGGGAAGATAGAGAATCCCAAGCAGGCTCCAGGCTGTCAGCGCAGAGCCCCACGTGGGGCTGGCTCTCACAAACCGTGAGATCATGACCTGAGCCAAAATCAAGAGTCAGACACTTAACTGACTGAGCCCCCATAGCATTTAGTTTTTAAAAAGACTTGTTTTTACCACATCCAATGAAAAAGACTCTGTTCCAAGTTGTTTCATCAATAAAATATGAGGTCTTATCAGTAAAACTCTCACCACTTTTTATTTACTGGCAACTTTGATACATTCAAATAGGTGTTTAACTTCTGATTTTTTCAGAAGATGGATTAAACCTTTTATCTTAGAAAGCATCGATAAATCTAAGAATTACTTCTCCAAAACACTTTTTACAAGTATTTAAGCTCTATTATTAGCTGAAACTAAGAGCACTAAAAAATTATTCTCATCATTCCCCCCCCCTCATAATACCAAAACAAGTATGTACATTCATCATTGACCAAATTGCTTTTTAAATGGATATAGTGCAAGGCCTTCTTTTGAAATAGAGAACTGATTTTGTTTAGAGGGCCTTCACCTGCTATTTTACACATATATCATTTTCCTCTTGTTCAGACAGACTGAATGATCAGAGTCTCACAGTATAATACCTCATGGCTAACAGAAGGAAATGTGTTGAATTAAAATCAAGGGCCTGGCTGAAGTATTCCAGTTAACTTTATAATGTTCAATGAAGTTTTTCCCTTAATACTCAATTTTGTTCTTGTCCACATACTTTTTACCAACTAAACAAGAAGCCATAAGGCTTAATGTGTACTACTCACTCAGTATTTATTTGGTTCCTATACACAACATGTTAGTCTGCTCATATATTTACCATTTATTTAAGTGCATTTTTGCTTGCCAGAAGAACTTAAGATCTATTGATATTTACAGGGTGAAGACCCAGTGATTCGTTCAGGTTTTACTATACAAATCACTGCCTTAAAAGGACATCATTTTGCAATGATAAAAGACGACAGGTCCCAAATTCAAGATAAATAGAAATCACAATCAAGTTATACCAAAACTTGCAAAACACAAGGTGGCATCCTTGGAATAAAGGCAGGCTTACCTAGAAAATAGATGGATCAGGTATAGCCCTTCCCACAGAATCAAGTCGCCTTCCCTTAGACACCAGCATCACTTTCATGTTATCCAGATTGCTTCTCGCCCATATTCCTACCTCTGCAACACTCTGAAAAAGTAACAGCATTACACAATAAGGCTTAATAAGAACAAACAACTGTGTGCTAGCCGTATGCCCAGGACACTCTAGCCTCAATCCTCTGTGATGTCTTAACTAGAAAAAGAATGACAAAAACCAGAATTCTTTTCTTTTTTTTTTTTTTTAATTTTTTTTAACGTTTATTTATTATTGAGATACAGAGAGAGAGACAGAGCATGAGCATGGGAGGGGCAGAGAGAGGGGAGACACAGAATCTGAAGCACGCTCCAGGCTCTGAGCTGTCTGCACAGAGCCCGATGCAGGGCTCGAACTCACAAACCGTGAGATCATGACCTGAGCCCACGTCGGGTGCTTAACCAACTGAGCCACCTAGGCGCCCCCAGAATTCTTTTCTAAACAGACCTTTTAGAACTCAGCCTCTAAAAGTATTCCCCAGTGAAAGGCAGAAATGATGAGATCTGTACCTATTAAGTTCATTTAGAGGCAGTTTCTCAACCTCAACAGGCAAACAGTCTCAGAAAAAATAGGCTAAACTATGGTACTAGTTCAATGAACTGTAGACCAAGGTATGTGCAACATGACCCAAGATGTAGAGTGCCACAAATGTTACCAGTAACTGTATTTTTTCTTTGTAACAATTTACTAACACTTCTTTATACATAATACGGTAGTTCATCCTAAAGCATTACAAACAGTATCCTTCCTATCTGTGATCAAACCTGCCTACAGATCTGTGGAAAAAAGAAACCCTCAACAGTTGAGCCAGAAAGGTAAATTACAAGCAAGCTCTTGAATGCAATGTGAAACTTAAAAATCTGAAATGATTTTTAAAGGTTTGTTTCAATAAACTCCTCATTATCATCCCAAAGCTTCAACCAAAGAATCAAAAAGTACAGCAGGATTCGAGATTCAAGGGAATGATTCAGCAAAAATTAATGATTAACATTTCATTTTAGCAATGTTCTAATTAGAACTCATCTCCAAGATGGTTATATTTGGAGAATTGCTACTCATAAATAAGTCTGCAGTGAAAAGGTAGAGATCCTACTAGGGTCAACTCCAGTCAACTATTAAATTTCATGTTTTTCTTATTTCTGAATCCATTAAATTTTCTTTAAAAGGTGGTAATACTGAAGATAGAGAAATTCAATTCTAAAAAAAAATCCATAAACTTACCAAAAGCAGAGTTCACTCTCTTTGTGTATGTTTGTAAACGTGTATACGCTACAGTGTACAAGCAATTTATATTTAGCTTTTTAAGAATTAATTCACGGGGCGCCATGGCGGCGGCAGAGAGGTCGGCTTTTAAAAACCGACTTCCTCAGGTCACGATCTCGTCCCAGGAGCTGGTAGGCCCGCTGTCAGTTTCTTTGCTGATGGCTCAGAGCCTGGAGCCTGTTTCTGATTCTGTGTTCTCTTCTCTGCCCCTCCCTCATTTTGTCTCTCTGTCCCAAAAAAATAAATAAACAAAAAAAAAAAAATTAAAAAAAATAAAAAGAATTAATTCACATTTGTGAGTATGATACGCCGGGAAAGGTGTTGTTAGTCCGACTTCTGTCATCCATCTACTTGTCCGGGTGGAGTTGAAGCCCGCCAATGAGGCTCTGGGCTGATGGCTCGGAGCCTGGAGCTCATTTTCCAGCCAAATCTTCCTTTTCTGTCTTCTTCCATGCTCTGTCTCTCTCTGTCCCAAAAATAAATGAAAAAAACGTTGAAAAAAAAAATTTAAAAAAAAAATAAAAAGTATGATGAAACCTAACTGAAGCTAGGTACCTAACTGAAGTTTTCTGTATCACTTAGAATTTACACCATATTAAAAAAATGACATTATTTAACAATGACCCTATCGATGGACATTTGTTTTTCCTAATTTTTCATTTCCTTAAAACATACTGGAACATTTATATACTCTATTTCCTTGAACATTAATGGAAATTATTACATGAAAGAAAATAACAAAATTTAGAACTTTCTAAATTTTTTAAATTTTACTTATGTATTTTGGGAGAGAGACAGAGCATGAGCAAGGGGAGGGGCAGACAGAGAGGGAGAGAGAATCTGTACTGACAGAGTGGAACCCAATGTGGGGCTTGAACTGTGAGTTCACGACCTAAGCCAAAATCAAGTCGGATGCCTAACTGAGTGAACCATGCAGGTGCCCCCAAATTTAGAACTCTTGTCACACTGAGACAGGGAAACTGTAAAGGACCTATGAAAAAGAGCTGGTTTCTATTCGTTTTCCTGCTTCTATTTTTGCCAATACCTGCACTCCCACCTTACACATGCCTTGATATATGTCCCCCTTGTAAGGGTCAAGGAGTTAATTATTTCTTTGACGTCTTCCACTACAACTGATAACAACTTTGAAGTGGCCAGGTGAGGTCCTCATGAAAGTTCTCCAAGACCACTGACTCCAAACACCTTGACAAAAGACCCTGGCTCCAGAGGATAAGTGACTTATCGAGGACACCTGAGCACTCGTCCTTGATCAGTTACTAGAAGCCTGAGAGGACATGTACACCAGGCCACTATCCTTAATAAAAACTCCAGACCCCCCCAAGCAAAGATGAGACTCATGCTCCTTTTCCTTTCTGAGTCTCCCAGATGCTCTGTATCTGCTGTCTCCAATATCTTCATTAAACTCTGTCCTCACTTCTTGCTGGCTTGAGCCTCATCTCCATCCTGCGTGAAGCTTACAACCCTTTTGGCTGGTCCTGTGGGACCCCTTCTGAGTCCTCTGACCTGGCCTGCCTGATCAGTTTTCCAGAAATGTTGTTCAAATTTATATCCAAACCAAGGAAGTATAATCTCTATTCCTGGCAACCGTTCTTTTGTTAAAAAGAAAGCACAAAGCAAGAAACAGCACAAGACTTCATTTGATAGGTGCAAAATAGTCACAGGTTTAGCATTTTAATCAATGTCCTCTCAGGACCCAAATGAATCCAAAACTCTAAGAAAAAATAAAGGCAGATTTGAGGCAATATGGAGATAAAGTGTGATAACAGTGTAAGAAAAAAGGGAGTCTGAAACAGCTAGCTAGATGCAATCAGTATTTCATTCTTGACAAGCTGTATTGATTACAGGTGATTCCAGGCAGTGTGCGGTGTACCAGCTTTAAATAAGAAATCTGGGTTCGGTTTTTAAAGTCCAGCAACTCATGTTTGAGACTAGTAAATGGTTCTAAGGTGCTGTGCAAATTAACAAGCATATGTGGTCAATCAACAAATATTTATCACATGTCTACTATCTACATGTTAGGCGCTCTCTAGGCACTGGGGATATGGTAGTCACTTTTATTTTTTTACCATCTTGCTCTCGACTCATTTTCCAGGGGTCTCTCCCATTTCCCACCATAGTTAGAGCTACAAGGTCTAACTTAAATATCTTAAATATTATTAACATTTAAGAAACTGACCTGGTTTTACCTTCAATTATTTTTATTAGGTAACACATTTACATGATTCAAAATTCAAAATATAAAGAGGGTTATACAGTTTAGTCTACTTCCCATTCCAGTTCCCCGGTCATCCAGCCCCCCTCCCTGTATAGGTGAACTCATCAATTTCTCAGGCTTCCTCACACTTATCTTATGCATTGAGAAGTCAATACAGCCCTTCCTATTCTTCCTACACATCCTCTTTTTACAGAAATGGTATCATACTACCAACACTGAACAGTACCTTAAAGGCTACTTTCCACTGCCTCAGCAGCAAGATGAGGAGACATCACTACAGCACACAACTGCAAGGTAGCCAAAGGATTAGCAATGGCAAAGTCCCTAAAGTGGGACTGCTTTGGCCTGTTGCAGGAAAAAAAACAAAACAAAACAAAAAAAAACAACCACCCCACAGCTGGTATCGCAGAGGCTTTCCATAAAGAGGGAGAGCAGTTGAATTGAAGGTTGGAGATAAAGACTGGGGCAGATCTCACAAGGCCATACAAATCCTTGGACGATTTTCAGTTGAGGAATATAATTTACATTTTTAAAAGATCACTTAGACTGCAGTATGGAGAATGGATAGGTAAGTCAGAAGAGATGAAAGCAGTCAAAGGAAGGAGGCTGAAAAAAGGATATACTTTGGAGGTAGTGTTGACAGGATCTGCTGAATGAAGAGATGATGGAGATTAAGAGAAAGTGAACTATCTCAAGCTGTTTCCTAGGCTTCTGGCTTTAACAGCTGAGTTTGGGGGCACTTAGATATATTTCATTACGTATTTGCATTACTGCTTGTATGAATAAAGTTATAAGACATTCAAATGAAGATATTAAGTTGATAGGTGGAAGCTGGAATTCAACAAACAGGATTAGACCTATCAAGACAAACTTAAGTTGGTGGCATTCAAGTACTTTTTAAACAGAAGATCGCCCAGAGAGATCGTGGTACAGAACGCTTATAAGGGAACATTTATATTCGCATTTAAATGATAAATATATTTCTTTTCATCTAAAGCTCCCAATGAGTGAGAACCCTATTTAACGTAGAACAAAAGAACAACTCTGGATCTAGTGTTTAATACAGAATTCAAAGAAATGAATCCTTCGTCCTACTTCATTCTGGTATTGATGGAAAGTTCTTATTCAATGGATTATCTTAGACTGGTGTTTTCATCAACTGAATCTACATACAGGTATAACTCATTTTATTATGCTTCACAGAAAGGGAGTTATTTTATAAACTGAAGGTTTATAGCAATCTTGCATTAAGCAAGCCTATCCACGCTATACTTCCAACAGCTCACTCAGGTCTGTGTCACATTTTGGTAATTCTCAAACTATTTCCAACTTTTTCTTTATTACAGTTGACCTTTGAACAATACATATTTGAACTGAATGTGTCCACTTATATGTGGATTTTTTTACAATACAGTACTGTAAATGTATTTTCTTAGCCACGTTTTTCCTCTACTGTAAGAATACAATATATGATACACTTAACATACAAAATGTGTTAATT